AATTTAAATACTGTACCTGTAGTGCGGGCAATTCCGCCCGCCATTCCACTCAATGAGCGTTTGACTATACGTGATTTTCGCCTTACGCGCTGACTTCAGAACCTAACCCCTGCGTAAGATGCGACTCCCCTGTACGTAAAAGGTTGTCGCAAAGAGAGAGAAAAATTGTTCTCGTTGACTTCTGAGGATAAGACAAGAAGCAAGGGGCTTAAATTGCATCAAGGGAGGTTTAGATTGGACATTTGGAAAAACTTCCAAACTGTACAGGTAGTTAAGCACTGGAGCCAATTGTGTAGGGAGATTGTGGAATCTCCATCATTGGAGGTTTTTAAGAACAGGTTAGACAAACACCTCTCAGAAATGGTCTAGTTTTAACTTAGTCCTGCCTTGAGTGCAGGGGACTGGACTAGATGACCTATTGAGATCACTTCGAGTCCTACACTTCTATAATGTGTGAGACACCTAGTTCAAGGCCCTGCTCTGCCCGATGAGGAGAAGGGATTTGAACAAGGCTAATATTTAATTAAAACAGAACTTCAATAGGAGAGATTGAGGGAGACCTACATCGGAATATTCACAATGCTTGTGCCCTTTTGAAGATCTGGGCCCTAATATGTCAGCACCAGATGGGAGACGCAACAGGCTTAGATCTGCAGGTTCATCATCCTTTGCCAAAATGGTTCCTATGAAGCCCTGGCTACAACATGCAGCTGCTTCCCCATCTTTTGGTGGAAATCCTTAAGAGGAGGTTGTCAAATACCAGTGCCTGCCTTTCCTAGGGTGAATCCTTTAGAGGCAGGGGCACACTGATACAGGGAGATGTAATTAGGTGCCATCAAGAGTAAATTTGACCCTTCATTAATAAACCCCAGTATTGACCAACTGGCACTGAGCATCTAACAAGTAAGCTTTCGGTAGTGCCTCCATAATTTAGCCAGACTCATGCAATCTTTATTTAGGTAAAGTTCCCATTAAAGCCCATATATGTTCTGCCTGAGCAAAGAGTGCAGGATCAGGCCTGTTAATGTAGGTTTTATGCCTACAATCCCAGGTGAAATGTCACTTTTATTCTAATCACAATTTCCACAATAGAAAATAGAAAGTCATGATGGATGTAACATGATCATCTTAACCACTGAAGCCAGGACAAGAAATTGTGGGCTTAAACTGCAGCAAAAGCGGTTTAGTTAGACATTAGAAACAATTTCCTTACTGTCAGGGTAGTTAAGCACTGGCAAAACTACCTAGGAAGGTTGTGGAATCGCCATCATTGGAGGTTTTTAAGAGCAGGTTGGACACATGCCTGTCAGGGATGGTCTAGATAATTCTTAGTCCTGCCTCAGTGCAGGGGCCTGGACTGGGGCCATGTCTACACTACAAAGTTAAGCTGACTTTATGTAAGTTGGCATCGAGCGTCTGATTTAAGCAAGTCGATCTTGTGTGTCCACACTATGCTCATTGTGTCGGCGGAGCACATCCTCACTAGCAGGGCTTGTATTGATGCATGGAGCACTGCACGGTGGTTAGCTATCCCACAGTGCACATAGCCGAGTGGAATTTTGGGTTGTGCTTGCAATGCCTTATGGGACCAAAACATTGGCACGGGTGGTTATGGGAACATGGCATTAGCCTCCCATGATGCACTTACCTCCCTCCCTGAAATCAACAGCAAACAAACCAAGCCTTTTTCATGCCTTTTTTTGTAAGCCTGGGTTACCCGCGCGGATGACATAGCACGATAAGCATGGATCCCACTCAGCTGTACACTGTTGTTGTGAGCATTACAAACACCTCGTGCCTTATCCTGCAGTATTTACACAGCCGATACAGGAGCCGCTGCATGGAACAATGTGATGCCACGCAAGCACCCCTGCTGGAAGACATAGAGCGGAGCAATTCGCAGTTGCTGGCGTCAGTCACACATCACCTTGAAACAGTTGAGCACCATTTCTGGGCCCAGGAAACAAGCACTGACTGATGGGACTGCATCATTATGCAGCTATGGGATGATAAGCAGTGGCTGCAATAACCATCAAAGGTGTGGGAATGGGCGCCTTCTGGTCCTTGTATCCTCCCCTGGTGTTGAGTGCAAGGGATACTGAACTTCCCGCCCTCCTGCCCAAGGACGTTTGGAAGGCAATGATGGCAACAGGTTCAGCATAGGCTGCAGAGGGACTCTAGCATCCAGCTGCCTTTCTTGAACCTCAACCAGATGCCTCAACATGTCTGATTGCTCCTTCGTAATCCGCAGCATCCCTTCCTGTGTGGCATGCTCTTGTTCCCTGCATGCTTTCCCGTCCTCCCTGTCCATGTCCATGTCCATGTGTTCGGACAGTGTAATCCTCCATGCTCTGAGCTCCGTCTTGTCACTCTTGGAGGCGCGCATTAACTCACTGAACATGTCCTCCCAAATCTTCTTTTTCCGCCTTCGAATCTGGGAAAGTCTCTGTCCCAGTGTTGAGGATGCGTCGACGGACAAGGTTTCAGCTGCAAGGAATGCAGAGCACAAGGGTAGTATTGACAGTGCATACATTGTTTCTGGGGCAAGATTTTTTTTTTTTTTAATAAAAAAAAACACCCCACTCCTCAATACACTTTCCTGCAAGCCACAATGTAATTAAAACCACTGGCTACTGCAAGAGTCTGTTTGCTGCTCCAGCCATGGTGAGTAAGGCCACGAGGCATGGGCGAGAGGTCTTGTGCTGCTGCTTTTGCAAAGACATCCTTGGGATCACAGGTTGCAACTTGAGAAAAGCCCTCTTACCCCTAGCAACCTGGATGGTGCTTGAGGACAGGCACCAGTGTAAAGCCCCCCAATAGTTTGTTTTTTACAAAAGCGGCACCGGTTTGTGGGGGAAGGGAGACAAACAGGAAGCCACCCACACCCCCTTTTTTTTCAATGCTGCTTGCAATACACGCTGATCCCTTCCAAGCACAACCATGGCATGTTTGGGAAAACATGGTTGTGTGACCCAGATTTCACCAGATGGGAGGCGGATTACTGGTTGAATTGTTTGTGGTTTAAGGGCTAGCATTGAAAACTTCCCCCATTTCCCCTAGGTGACCCTAAGCGATATCACTCTCCTGAGGGTAACAGAGGTGGCAAAGGAGCAGATGCTGCAAGCGTCTGGGTACAGACCTGGTCCTTATGCTGCAATGATGTCAGCTGAGATAATACTGGAGTGGCGTGGGAAAGTGTCCTACCGTGGTGGACAAAATAAGGCAGCTCTTCCCAGAAACCTTCTGCAAAGGACTGCAGAGTACCTCCATGAAAGCTTCCTAGAGATCTCCATCAAGGATTCCCAGGCCATCCCCATGCACATAAACAGTCTTCGTCTGAGAGCACCTTCTGCGTAGCTGGAGTGGCCACCAATACCCACTACACCTACTTTACCGGCATCACGCTCCACCACCAACTGGTCCTGTGAAGGGATGGGCTCCATGGTTAAAAACAGTTCTTGTCTGTCAGGGAGAATGGATCCTCCGCTTGCCTGCCTCACATTCTCCTCCTCCTCTTCCTTGTCAACGGTGTCCTCCTCATTGTTGCTCAAGGTCGCCCAGGGCTCCTGAGAGGTATCCATAGAGTGATTTGGGGTAGTAGTGGGGTCGCCACCGAGAATTGCATGCAGCTCCTCATAAAAGTGGTGTGTCTGTGGGGCAGAACCAGAACTGTTCGCCTCCCTTGTCTTCTGGTACACTTGCCAAGCTCCTTTATTTTCACGTGGCACTGCTGTGTGTCCCTGGTGTAGCCCTTCTCCCCCATGCAATCTTAGCATAGATGTCAGTGTTTCTTCTGCTGGATCGGAGCTCTGCCTGCACAGACTCTTCTCCCTACACAGCAGTAAGATCCACCACCTCCTGTGTACTCCAGGCTGGAGCGCGTTTGCGGCCTTGAGCCTCCATGATCAGCTGTGCTGGCCAGCTCTCCACGCTGATGAAACAGGAAATGAAAATTCAAAAGTTCCTGGGGCTATAACAGGGGAGTGGTTGTTTCCTGTGTACCTGGCTGATGCGCAGTAGAGTTGAAAGTGCTCTCCAAAGCAGTCACAGTGAAGCATTGTGGGACACTTCCTGGAGGCCAATACATTTGAATTACACAACGCAGTGTCTACACTATCCCCATGTTAACCCGTGGATGTTGAATCAAGCGCTATGCCTCTTGCGGAGGTGGTGTACAGAAGTTGACTTTACAGGCCACTTAGATCGGCGGAAAGGACTTGGTAGTGTAGACCCACATTATTAGATTGACTTAACACAGCTTATGTTGACCTAAGTTTGTAGTATAGATCAGGCCTAGATGACTTCTCGAGGTCCCTTCCAGTCCTATGTTTCTATGATTTCTATTATGTGAGTTGTTTGGATGTGAGGAGAGATTTGCATAATCATTCAGATACTGCCATGTATCCAGTCTATTACAAGTTACAATTAAGAAAGTCTGTAATTTGAATTTTTTAAAAAAAAATTTCATTTGGTTCCATGCCATACGATATCACTACAGGCTTATCTGCATATCCTATTATAATTCATAGTTTTCTACTACGATTGCCTCAAACTAATCAGTACTCTACAAGCTAATCAGCTCACACACTGTCACAAGTGGCATAATGCAAGTAATTTTTCTTTAATTCAACTTCTAAACAGGAAGGTGAAAGATCAGCTTGAACAAAAACAGGCTTATCCTGAACTCATGAATTGCTAATCTTGATTAATGGGGAATCACTGTGTAAAAACATGGCTAATTCACTTGCTCGCGTCCCGTTCATCAAATGTCGTGGAAAAAATGAGCACACTTACACTTCACAAATAAGGAGTGTCTAGACTGTCTCTCCCCTGAATTTTAAATCTTGAATGAAGTTGTGTACACTAAAGTCTGGAAGTCCCGAAAGCTCTACAGGACAGTGAAAAGGCTTCCAGAAAATAAGAGGCATAAAGAGCCAAAAATAACAGAGAGAAATCAGAGCAACAGGAATTAAATATTAACTATTCAAGTACAAACAAATGTTCAAAGCCTAAGAGAGAGACCTGCAATATGCATGAGAAACAATGGATTGCCATCCTGTTTGGGTTACCAACATTTAAGGTGGGTAGGGAGCCCTTTGCTACACTGGTTGATCAAATCTTGAATATTTGAGAGCAGAACAGTCAATCTGGAGGAAAGGCTTCTGCTTTCACTGGTGTAGACTTTATTTCTGACTCAGTTCTTTCCCAGGCACAACTGAGGACTGGCATGTCAGGAATACTGAAAAGCCTGTGTGCTGGAGAGTCTATCAGGCTGTTTATCATAATGCTAGACTGTCAGAGCGGAGGACTAGGGACTCTTTTTACTCTATTTTTTACAGCACCTAGTACAATGGGTCTCTGATCCCTGATTAGGCTTTTGGCTGCTATTTCAATGTGCATGCAGGGTTTGCCAGGTTGGGCCTTTGATTTCCTAACAGAAAAAAATGGAGAAATCTAAAGCAAGGTGAAATATCTACATGAGGATTGTGAGGGAGGGAGCCCTTTTGAGAGTCCTACAATACAGTGGTGGTACAGGACAGCACCCACTATGGCAATATTTGCTCCAACTTTTTCTCATTTTTTCCACTAATAGGGTGACCTGTCTGTCCCCTTTAGGAGCTGTGGGGCCCAGGGCCGGCCATACCAGTTCCAAGGCACGGCCCCCCTAAGGATAGGCGATCCAGGGATGGATCAGCAGACACTTGGCCCCCATTTCCAGCTTGTCTCAGCCAGATGACTCAAGATGCTCATCAGGTAAAGATCAGTGCTGCAGTTAGGATCATTTATGAGGACTAGGAAAGGATGTGGGGGCAGGCAGGGTGGGAAGAACTCTCCTGAGAGGGCCAGGGGACAGGGTGGGACAGCAGAGCTGCCTGGCTAAGAGGGAATTGGGACTCAAAGCTCTTCAGCAAAGGAGAACTGGGACACAAACGCCTCTTTGCAGGAAAAGGTTGTGCATGGGTGGGTTAAAGCAGCTGTATGTTAAGAGGCCTGAATAAATTAGGCCCCCAAGAGGGGGAATGTTATTTTTAAACACTCGTGGTTGTGAGTTATTTTATTGGGGAATCTCAGCCAGGAGGGAAAGTGAGGCAGGGCGATTGCAGTGCCATGCCACAAGGGGGAGTGTTCCAGGACTGCACCCTACAACTTCCCCTTTTTATAACAGTGACGAGTGGGGTGTGGCTCAACCACCTCTATTCCCACCTGGATTTAAAGCACCAAGTATAGTGTTGCATGTACAGTACAGATAGTGCTGAGGAACTGGAAGTCCCCTGTCCTTGGAGGGATCACTGGGGTTTTCCATCCCAGACTAGTAGGAAGAAAGAATCCAACAGCTGGCCCAAGGCCTGGTATTTTACACAATGTTGACTTTGAAAGTAAACAGTGAGCAGAACAAATCCCCCAATTGTGTTTTTAAATCAAGTTTTGAAAACCTTTGAAGGTGGATTCAGCACTCATTAAAGGTACAAGGTTGACAGCGCTGGAAAATGAAGCCCTCTAATTAGCCCCAGGATTGACATACCCTGGATAGGGGCTGTGCAAAGTTCACCACTCTGCCTGGCTAATCTGTCTTCGTCCTGCTTGGGAACGACCCCATCTCAAAAGGTGAGATGAGCAGGTCATTCAATTCTCAGCCTCTGTGGAGGATGCCAACAAAGGGGCCAATTGTGTTGTGGAAGCACACCCCCTGGAACTGGACCAAGACCACCAATGCACTTCTAATGAATAATCCCCTTTGGTAAATCCCGTCCTTTGTGTAGTTATATTACTTCTTTTTTTTTTTTGAAAGGAACAATTTACAGAAGAGAAAATATTTTCTGAGACACCGCAGATAACTAGAAACCTCAGATGATTTCGATGGGCTGTTGGTTATTTGTAACCGAAATCTCTGATATTGGGCAGCCTGCTACATGTTACTTATTCTCCCATCTACTCGCGATGCTCCTCCAAACTGCTCTTTCCTTACTGCTCCTTCTGTCTGCCTCCTACGATCTAGTTCATATCTTCACTCACGTTGCCCCCTGTGCTTGGAAATGTCTCCTCCTTAAGCACAAAGGATCAACTCCAAAAAAGGCATTTAGGCACCTAAATCCCATTGAAATCAATCTGGGCCCAAGTCCCTGGGTTCTTTCCTTCAAATCCCTCTTCAACACTCATTTCTTCTAAAATGCTTCCTTATCATTAATCTGCATGTTCAATACAGTGTAAGGGGACTGTTGCCCCCTTACTAACATTCAGTGGGGGTGTTTTGGTTGGCTAGCTCCCAGCACTAAAAGGGGAGGGGTTGATGGGAAATCAGGACCCTGAGACTGACAGTCCCCAGGAACAATGGGGAGAGGCCAATGCTCCAGATCAGCCTGATTGACAGGGCGGGCAGGCTAATCAGGGAGTCAGGAGGCCAGGGGGGTCCCGTCCTCCGTGTGAACTGGAATGGCCTGAGTCAGAGGGAGTGGGGCCGAGCTAAGGAGAGAGCAGGGGCCCGAGCTAAGTTGCTGGAAGCAGAGCTGCAGCCCCAAAGCCAGAGCACAGCCCAGAGAGAGCAGACCTGCCCTGGGAGCAGAGCTGCAGCCACCAGAGCCAGAGGGGCCAGACAAGCAGCCAGGAAGCAGGTCAGAGCTGGGAGCAGAGTCACAGAAGCAGCCTGCAGAGCAGACCTGTCCTGGGGGCAGAGCTGTAGCAACCAGAGCCAGAGAGGCCAGAGAAGCAGCCCAGGGAGCTGGAGGCAGAGCAGCAGCTGTGCTGAGGCAGAGTGGAGCTGGGGCTGGAGCAGTCCGGAGCTGGGTGTGGTGAGCAGCTGGGGAGAGCGAGGGGGACCCTGGGCAGTGGGCCCAGCACAGGGAGACGCCTCAGCCAAGAGGCCTTGCAGGCCAGACTTGGAGGGGGATCATAACCCCGACCGGGCAGGGGCAACGCTGGGAAGAAGGGTCCTGCCACCTAGAGCCTGAGAGCATGTGGCCACCGCCAGAGCAAGTGTCCGACCCGCAGCATCTCTGCAGCACAGCCCGGGCCTGAGAAGGAGGCCTGGGACCTACAAGGAACAGACAGTGAACTGCCCTGACGTTCCAAAGACCCTGTTTGTGGTGTTCCCTGCCACAGAGCGGGGTGATGTGTTTTCCTTTAACTTCTCCCATTTTTCCTTATTCTTTTTTAATTAATTGTTAATTAAACAACTTGTATTTGCTTTAAATTGTATGAAATGATCAGTGGGTCAGGGAGGTGCCCAGTGCAAAGAGAGTACCCCGGAGTGGGGACACCCTAGCCCCTGTCCTGGGTGACCACAGCAGGGTTGGGGGTCGAGACCCCCAGGAATCCTGGACCCAGCCTTGTCGGGGTTTCCGAGGACTCTGCCAGACAGGAGAGTGGAAGGGGAGTCCTCAAGGGCAGGGAGGCCTCTGGGTAAAGGAAGTGGGAGCGAGGACTCAGATCCTTTCGCTAGCCCACTTCACCGGGGTAGTGCAGAAGCCAGGAAAGTTCCCCACAATAGCAGTACCATTCCCCCGCTCACAACAGTATTAAAATTCTAAAGAAATAACACACAGCCACATTTTCTGTGAAAAAGTGTAGTTTAGTGATTAGAACATGGGACCAGGATTCCTGGGTTCTATTCTTGGCTGTACCACTGGCTTGCTATGTGAACTTGGGCAATTCACCTTACCATGCCTCAGTTTCTCCATCAGTAAAACAGAGATAATACCTATCTAATGGCCACGTTGCAAGGCCTAATATTCATAGTGAGATCTATAGAGGAAAGATTCTATAGAAGTGCAAAGTAGTTTTGCTGAGCAAGCTATTCTTCAGGGGGGTTTTATCATAGAAAAATCTTTTGATTAAGTATGTGTAACTCTGAAGAATGACTGCACAAACTTTACTCAAATGGGAAGCGCTCTCCTTATCTACCAATTTACTGTTACTGTGCAGCTGAGAGAGATACACTTGAAAGTAAACGAAACTTTGAAAATCCTCAACCACAGTGTCACCACAAACAGGCGCTATAACACATATTGTATGTTAGAAGTTACATTGCAAATAAACCTTGTTTTCCTGGAAATATTATCAACACCAGCCCAGTGTGACCATATATCTAGCGCAATCTAGCACAGGCATGAATCACTCCTACATTGTGTCTATCAGGCTACTTAAATGAAAGCCAACCAATTAGTGTTCATGTAGAACCCACACTGCTCTAAAATTAATGTCTAAGGAGTGCAAGACCTAGGGCTTCATCTCTTTACTCTTATCCACCCTCAGTGGAAATAATGAAAACTGAAGGAAGGCAAATCGTTACCTTACTCTAAATTCAAGAACAAGGAAACATCCGATGCAATTGAAATGCAACAAATTTAAATTGATAAAAGGAAATATGCTTTCACAAATATAACTTGTGGAACTCATGGCCACAAGGTATTAAGGCCAAGAGCAGAGTAGGATTTTAAAATGACTTGATATTTAGATGACTAATGAGGACATCAATGGATACATTACATAGTATTTTAAAAATCAGGACATGAATCCCACTTTCTTCAGGATATGTGCCATCCACAAACTAGAAGGGTTAGGAAGAAACTTTACTTTTTATCAGCCAGCCAGTGAAAGCAAGTGCTCAGATAAACAGCCTAGGAATGGGAGAGTCTGAATCATTCTTTAAAAGTTGGCAACGCATAGTTCTACTGTGAAATGCACTCTCCAAAGTACTGTGGAATTGAACACATTCCACCATTTTCTGTATTCAGCTGACAGCTGGAAACCTGCACAGGATGCCAAATGTATGTGACCTACATTAGTAGCTTAAAGGCATTTGCTGGAATGAAATCTAAGATATTGAATCTTTTAGCCTGGATTTCTTTGAGAGTATTATGTACAGGATAATGGTGAAACAGATGCACTACTTTTCAGCTTCCTGGCATTTAAAAAGTTGTTAATCTGTTTCTCACTTCCCTCCCTCCCCCTCAAAAAACAGCACAGCTCTTTTTTATGCCAAAATATTAACCTGTTAGCAGTATAAATATATACTTCTACAATGCTAGCATTAAATAAAATAGTCCCAGTCATGTCCGTGTCATGGTGTAAATATATCCCAATTGGTTCATGCTAAATTACTTTACTTCTTGTACTGGAGTGATGTATACTTACAGTCAATTAATCAATTTTTATTAGTCTTTTCATGTTTGTGGATTCTCTTAATTTCTTTTTATATGGATGATTCATTTCTGCAGCATATGTAGAACTGAATCAATCATTGTGGGACACATCTGTTCTGTTTAGTAGTATCAAATGGTTTTATTTTAAGGCTGGAGTGTGCCCCTAAAACTCTGAGGTAGCTACTACACTGCAATGAGGGATACTCAGAATGAGTTAAATGAAGACCCAACCTAGGGCCAGTCCTGGAGCAGTGTTTGCTATGCTAGTAGTCCTAGTGAATTCAAACACTACTGGCTCTTCTGTTTACCATCATCATTAGCCACATCGCAATCAGTCACTATTGAGTATAATGTTGACTATCCTGAGATTCCTTAGGTGGTATGGGATGTAAGAGTTTTGTCCTGTGAGATGCTGAACACTCTGGCACTAATCCTGCAAGGCACTTAAGCATGTCCATAACTCGGTGGGAGGAAGTAGGGGGGTAGGGAGGCCTCAATGGGATTTATTCAAATGCTTAAAGTTAAGCACATGTTTGCTGGATTAGTGCCAGAGAACACTCGGCACCTTGCAGAGTCAAGTCCTAAATCCCCAATTCAGGAAAGCATCCATATTGAAGAAAACACTTAAGCACATGCTTAAATTCCATTGAAATAATGAGACTTAAGCACATGCTTAATTTTAAACTCATGCTTAAGTGTTGACCTGAATTAGGGACTGAAGCCAACATTGTTTGCAGGACCGGGCCTCTATTTTGTAATAGGGGAGGAGAAACAATGAAACTCATGATGACCACGACCCTAGGATCTCTTGATGCCCACTGGCAGAGGGTACAGGGATACATAGAGTTACAAGGATCCCAGTGGTTCCCCAAAAGCAGTCACGTAAGATCTCTGCTGAAAGCATGTGTCACACTGGTCATCATAATCATTGTGAATAGTATGTGCAGATAAATGTGTAAGGAGTTATGTCTTGAGGCCTTGTAGTTAAAGGCAGGGTCACTTAGAAGTAGCGTTCCTCTAGACAGACTTCTCCAGACAGAAGGTGGGAGGCACTTATCTCCCTGGTTGATCATTGTTTATTGTGTATCTCACAATGTAAGTCTATTTGCATATTGAATCCAGTCCTAATGAATACATTACAAGTCTGTAGGAAAAAACAGAAACCGCAGAAGTTATCCTGTAGCTGAGTAAAAACAATACACTTTTTGGGGAAAAGGACTTGGGGTAAGTTGTCCTGTAAAAGACAGGGGATGTCTTGTGAATTAAGATTAGGCTCTAGAACAGTGGTTCTCAACCTGTGGGCCATGGGATGCATGCGGCCCAATTAGCACACAGCTGCAACCCAGCTGTGTGCTAAAGGCTGCTGGGCCTACAGGGGTGGGGGCTGCCCTACCACCTGGCATGGCGGTGTCCAGAACCCAGGCTGCCCTGCCACCAGGCCGGCACGGCAGGGTCTGGGCTACCCTGCCTTGCAGTGTGGCGGGGTCCAGGTTTGGGGCTTCCCTGCCGCATGGAGGGGTCTGGGGTTGGCGCTGCCCTGCCACACGACGTGGTCCGGGCTGCCCTGCCCTGTGGTCCGGGCTGCCCTGCCGAGCAGCCCCGTGCCTGGGGTCCATTCCTGGCCCCACTCTGGGGAGGAGTCTGTGGGCAGGGGCCGAGGCATTGGGCATAGGGATCTGTGGGGGAGCTTGGGGGTCACTGAGGTCTCAGGTTGAGAACCAAGGTAACACATTGTGGGCCCACAGTGATAAATTGACAACCACTGCTCTAGAAAGCCTGTGATGATTTTGTTTTATATGTAACCATTTGTTTCTGATATTCTTACTGTCATTTGAACCTCTGTTTTTTGATAATGAATTTATTCTTGTTTTCACTATAAATCTATCTAAGGGCTGTGTGTTATGCGGAGTGGTGATCCTGCATTAAAACTAGTAAGCTGGTGTGTCCTCTTCCTTTGGGAGCAGTAAATCTGACAGTTCTGGGGGGATGCACAGAGGACTTGGGGGTTGCTGCATACCTATACTAACCTGTACAGACAGAGCGAGGCCTGCGGAGGCCTGGACGGCAGCGCTTGTTTTGCCAAAGGCTGATGGCTTCAGGGAGTTGATCCACAACTGGCGCAGACAAGACTTCCTCACTTTAAAGGCAAGTGGCGGTCAGGTGATTCACAACCCTGGGTATCCCTGGGAAGGATCACAGTTTCCTATATCACTCATGGGGAAAGGAAGCTCACTGAAGACTTCAAAATATGAGGTTTGCAATCTAGGCTAGGCCACTAAAGACATTTTCTAGCATTCACAGCCCTTTCTCTTCACTGGAATTGCAACCAGTTCCAGTGGCAGAAGATATGCAGATGATTCATCCTTTGTATTGTGGAAGCAGAGAAAGAACTGACAGGAAGGGGATTGCAATGCATGACAGTTTGTTAGCAAGAGTCAGGCTAACTGTAACCCTAATAACCCGAGATTTGTAGAAGCGAGGATTGTGTGAGGCGAGTGGGAAAGAACTGTGCGACCTTGTGTAGATAATGTGCAGACAATATGGAATGTAGACTAAGAGTCTACATAAGTGAGAAAAAACAAGATATCAGAATGACCAATGTATAAACAAATGCAGCTGTTGCTTATTATTGTCTGTAACAAAGGGTATAAATGCTTGCTGTAATTGTTTACCTGTTGAGAGACCTGCCTAGGAGGGGGAGACCCTGTGTCCTAGTGCACTCTCTCCCGTTACGCAATTGCTTGAGAGAATAAAGTATCTGACTTTGCTGTACCCAACCAAAAGAGTGAGAACTGTGTTATTCTCCGACAGTATGTAGTTGGGGATTTGTCTCAAGCTTTTCTCTCGTGTCTCAGGACCCTCAGACTTTGGATCTGGATGCGGATCTGAACTTTGCAGCTGGCCCCATAATGGAATGAGCAGATGAGCTAGCCAACTCCCCAAGTTCTCACTCAGATTTTCCTCAGTCCTCACCCTGGCCCCAATTCAGGGAAGAACATAAGCCCATGCCTAACTCTAAGCATTTATTTTAATTGAACTACTCAGCTGCTTAAAGTCAGGCATGTGCTTAAGTACTTTGCTGATCAGAGATTCTGGGTGCTAAGCCCCATCCCTCTTACCAAGATAGGAAACTGTGTCTGGGCTGCAGGAATGCATATATCCCTCCTTCCGATCCCCAAATGGGAATCCCTCTCTTGGAGTCAGGAAGCTTAGGTGTCTACACTGTTTCCTGCAGGAATAAGTTAGGCGCCTGTCTCCAGCCACACAAAAATGGTTAGAGGAGGAGGAGGAGGTGCCCACCTTATTACTTTTAGCCAAGTGGTTACAGCATTTACCTGAGATGTGGGAGACCCAGTTTCAACTCCACTCTCTCTGCCGGGGGGGAGAAAGGCATCCAGACGCCTAGAGGGAGGCAGCAATACATATCCTCAAGGGCAGAAATGTAGGAGCTGAGGGAACTTTTACCCTGAAAACCAGAGCCGTAACTAGAGATTTTTGCGCCCGAGGCAAGGGACGGGGCGGCACGTCCGGCTCTTTGGTGGCAGGTTCCTCTCGGAGGGAAGGACCTGCCGCCGAATTGCCGCCGTTCTTCGGCGGCAGGTCCTTCCCTCCGAGAGGGACTGAGGGACCCGCCGCTGAATTTCCGCCGAAGAGCCGGACGTGCCGCCCCTCTCCCTTGCCGACGACTGGCGGCAATTCGGCGGCGGGTCCCTCAGTCCCTCTCGGAGGGAAGGACTTGCTGCCGAATTGCCGCCGAAGGAGAGACTTTCTGCGCCCCTCACCTTCTGCGCCCAAGGCAACTGCCTCACTCGCCTCGCCCTCGTTACGGTACTGCTGAAAACTTAGGTGCTAAGTGAGTTTAGGCACCTACAGGGTTCAGCAGGAGTTTGTGAATCACAGTGGAGCCAAAACTGGGACTTACGCACCTAAATTCAAGACTTGGGTGCCTAATTCTGGGGTTTAGGCACCTAAGTACCTTTGTGGATCCTACCCTAAATACTTAACAGTTAAAAGTAGTTAATGGGGGGGGGGGGCAAAATTAGTTTTATCATGGAAGCTATTGAGTCACAATAGTAACTCTCTGAAATACATCTCTGTGGGAAAATACTTAGTAACTCTTTTGTTTCTCAAAACTCCATACTCATAAAGTTGTTTTCCAGCCGTCATCATCATCATCATGAAGAGATATGCATAGTCAAAACTGTTGTTTATTTCTATAGAGCTACAGAAGGTGAATTTGGCCCATTATATATACATTATATTTTACACAGAGATAACATTTGCTGCTAGAAGAAAAATTTTATATTATAATTAGAGCTGATAAAAATGAGAACACATTTCACATATATGTTTGCAAAAAATTTTCCCTTTTATTGTCAACATTTTGAGAAAAATTTTCATTGAAATTTCAAAATTCAGAAAATTTTGACCAGTCCCATAGCTGGTTAAAAAACAAGATGACTCCTTCATAGCATATTTGTACAAAAATCATCCTGTTTTTCCAATCACGTCTCAAAATTTTGATGAAAAATTTCATTGAAAAATTAAAAATTTGGAGAAGTTTGACCCGCTCTAATAATAAATACATCTTTGGATTTACAAAATGTGCTCCCCCTCCACTTACATAATTGTGTGAATGATCAAAAATGAATGATCAAAAGGAATCAGCTTCCATTGACTTGATGATGTTTGGAAATTTAGCCAGGAGATTGTTTTCCTTGAGAAGCTGCTACCCGTAAATGAAACAAGTCAGTTGATTCCAAAATTACTCAAACCAAAACTATTCATCTCATGCCATAGATGTGCAAGTCACATTTCAGAAAAGAAATAGACAGATTCCCTACCCCAAACTGCTTAAAGTCTAAGTGATACAAGTAGAATGGAAACAGCATCTGCGAGGAGAGGTATGCTGGCAACGCTGTCACTTAGAAGGCTAATCTTTGCACCTTGATATTCCAGTGCAACATCTCCCTTTTCCGTTGCCTTAGTTTTATGACACTGATTAATTTGTGTTCTTTCTTTTCATTTACATGTAAAATAGAGTATAGGATTTTGTGAAAGTTTTGTATAAAACTTGAATTATGAAGTCATTGGAATTAGGGGATTGTAATAGAAATACTGATAGAAAATGAAGTGGAGTGATGTTGATGAACACAAGTAACATAGCTCTCTTTTCTTATTAAGTACTGAGATTATTCTTAATGACAAAGTAATAGCAGAATTATTCTGATTAGTATTCTGTGTAGATTGCCATATTTCTGTAGCCAATGAAATCTGATTCTTGCAATTGTTACAGGTGGAATAGTAGCAACACTTGTATTAAGGTCGCATTATAATTTAGTTTTTCCTAACTTTTGAGAACTTGACTTTGCAGTGTGGTCACAAAGTGGTTTTAACACAATTGGGTTTTTTGAATGGAAGTTAATATTATTGTCAATTCTTACAATTTTATTGGGATCCTTGCAATATTTGGCATCTTCCTTAAAGTTCCAGCACCTAAACTAGATGAGAAACTCAGTTTTGATCTATTTAAAAAAAAAAACAAAAAACTTTCTATCCCTCATGGTTGCAGAGAAAAGCTTGAAAATGTGACCCAAATGTACCTTAAAGATTCACAAATGAGAAGGCAAATTAAAAAGAAACAAGATTGGCTTAAAAATCATGAGTATTGGGTTTTTTAATTTTGTGGTTTTGGTGGGCCTTTGGCATTGGCAGTACTGAATACATAGGTCTGAAATGAAGGCGGCATTACAATATTTTACTCTACTGTGCAAAATAAAATGTGCCTATGCTTCAGACATGAGAGCTGAGTGACACACGATTTCTCGTTTGCAGTTTTCAGACAGCAAATGGGAAATGTCTTTCGTTTCTGGCAGTTCTTGGTAAAGTAGAGGAAAAGACTGCCAGGGCTGAGACTTTGTAACTGGAAAGAACATTAAACTGAGGTGGGTTGCTTTTATTCAAACCTGGGGGTAAGGACAAGCTGCTGAAAGCAACTCTTCATTTGATTTAAAGAACTTTGATTTTTAAAGATGTGTTGTTTGTTTCCAGTAAATTCTCTCTTTAAAGGAACTCTTTTTTTCAATGAATACATTTCTAAATGGGGCCAAAAACATTCCTACTATATTAAGGTTGCACTTTATGGTTAGAAAAATGGGGAAATCATATCAGGAAAGTACTTTAAACACATATTAAGTTATTTGGTTCCTGGGCTTCTAAGGAACAGCCAAACTAGATATGTTAGTTTTCCTCCCTAGAACCTGGACTACACTTCAGTTACAACTCTTTTTATTTGAATACTAGATGCACACAGAGATTAGCATTAGCTTGAAGGGCTGACTTCTTCTCCCCATTATTTATTCTTTTTCAACAGCCAGAATGATTCAGTAGGAAGTTCTGGTCCTCACACTTCTGTATATCCCTCAACCTGTGTCCCAAGAAACTATGCAAAAGGCAGTGATTCAACATGGTCACAACTTCTGAGCAGTCAGGAAGCTTTGGACTCTAGAAGTGAAATCCTGCCCTCTTGAAATCAATGGGCGTTTCACCATTGGCTTCAGTGGGGCCAAGATTTCACCCTAGGAGTTAGGTTATTTGCTTTTTTACAAGAGTGGACACACACAATAAATTATCCTCGTCTGTTTAATGTACAGTAGGCCAAATCCTGCAGTTCTTACTCAGGAGGTATGATTGCAGCATGTGTAGACATGCCTCGTTAGGCTTAGATCTAGCTAGAGCAAAGCTATCTCAAGTAACAGTAGTGGTGAAGTCAAGGCACCACAGGCTGCAGCTGCTCAAGTATGTATCCAGGGTCCTGGACAGGCTGGGGGACTAGAATTTAGCTAGGCCAAAACTAACTTGGGTATGTCTACATGTGCTGCAATCACACCTCCCAACTGCAGTATAGACATTCCCTAAAGTTCTTGAGGACTTTGCCTAAATAGAATGAGTAAGATCTCCAGGATTTGGCCCAATATCCATACAGAATATGGCTTTGAACAGAGATGGTTAGTAAACCAAGCACAGTTTAGGCTTGTGCACACTCAAACTGTAGCCACCTCACAACAAAACCAACCAACACTGCAAAAATTAGTCCTGCCTAGTTCCAGTCCCAGCTGTAATTTTTTCCTCATTATTCCAAAAGGTTCTGACTTAAGGACTCGATCCTTCAAGGTGCTGAGCACTCTGGTCCGGAACCATCAAGGCAATTATGCATGTAAAACTGATCACACGCTTAAAATTAAAAACATACTGAAATGTTTTGCTGGATCAGGGTCAGAAGGTTCAGCACTTTGCAGGGTTGATCCGTGTAACATTAAGCACTTGATCCAAGGCATCTCCACCAAGCCAGTGACAAAGTTTTTTTGGCCATTGATATCAACGGGGCTAGGATTTCACCTTCTATGTCTTCCTCATGAAAAACTATTGTAGGTAACATCAAAAAAGGAACCCTGCTGATCTCACAAGCCCTGAACTCAAACATATATACTGTACTCAAATACACTAGCATGGGTAAAAATTAAAAAGATTCAGAATTCTATATGTGAATTAATATTGGCCTTATTACCATGAATACATTCCCCCACTGCTCTGAACTATTTGCCAGCGTATTTAATGGCAGTACCATATGTCTGATGTGATGTGAAAACACAGCTCAATAATGTCTTAAACAAAAATGAAGCATAATTTTAGGCATAACTGATACCCTAGGGATATGTGCTTTTCACAGTGGTAATGTCTGCAGCAGTAATGGTTCTAATTATTGTTAAATCCAAACAGTAAAGAACTGACAGGCAATATAACTACCAGTGAAAGTTTAATGAACCAGGTGTTTCTATAAGGAGGTTTTTTACAAATAATTTGTCAGATACACAGGTTGGCAGGCAATAAATTGCCCATCTTTAACACAAAAGATAACATTAATTAGAATGATATTTAATTAGGTAAGAGCATAGGATATCAGAGAGTATTAAAGGTAATAGATACTTCAAATTATTATTAAGAATGGGCCAAATTCTGAGGTCCTTACTCTGTTTTTATTCAGTCCTCTGTGTCAGTGGGAGTTTGTCTGAATAAACATTGAGAAACAAGCGAGAAAGCACCTCAAGATTTGACCCAATAATACTTAGCACTATTCAGAGCTCTTTATGTTCAGTGGGTCAAATCCTGAAAACAAGATGCAACCACAATGACACGTGAAGGGTTCTTACAATGCATCATCATCACTGCAAATGAGAATGGAGAAATATTAAAGAACTAATTAAAAGCATAATCTGCCAGAGTTGATTAGAATGCAAGCTAGGTATAACTGCAGGCAGGATCAATTAATGGGAGCCAAAGTTACAGTAGTGAGAGAGACAGAGTCTGAAGTGCTACTATATTTAGATGATAAAGGTACAGAAGAGCCAAAAATCCCACAGAATGAAGATAAAGAGTTAAAAGCATGTAGGAAAGATGAAGAAGACAACAATGAGACAAACAACATTACAAGATTTCAATAACATTGAAGACTTCAATAGGACAACTTGCCTGAATAAGGAGCACAAGGCTTGATGCTAGGAAAGGATAGAGTTCTTTTTAGGTGACTGTAGGTTAGAACCTACTTCCACTGACATAAGAAAATAAGACAAAAACACCAGGCTGCTTCCGCACTGAGAATTCAAGCTGTTGTCCCCCAGTTGGTTTAACACCAGTGTAGCTCCATGGGGGAAAGCAATGATAGAATCACTAGTGTAGACCCAGGATAAGTGTTTTTACCTACCACCATGTCAACTTTTGGGGGCAGGAGTTTCTATTTAACATGTGTTTGTACAGTGTCCAACACACTGATTCCTGGCTGCAGCCCCTCAGCATTACCAGCATGCAAATAGTAATAATAAAGAACCCAGTGCTTCTGTTAGGTCTATGCTAGACCAACAATGGGAGAATTGTGAATATCTCTCAGTGAGGACAAGGCTCCTTTGAATTCAATGGGAGCTGGACTGAGCTTCTATGAGATTAGATGAGCAGATATCTAAACTACCCTGCATATGTTTTGAGTGTTTAAATCACAAGCAGTAGACCTAAATGTTACTTGAATGTGTCTTATTCAGAAATAAACGTCTATCAATGGCCTGTTAATTTCACTTCCTAAACTTTTTATATTATTCCTGTGCTATTGTTGTTTGCACTTACCATGCTGCTAGTCTCTTGTCCCAGGGCTTTTCACACACTGGCAGCAGCTTTACATATTCATTTCATAGCACAGTACCCACAGCAAGCTTTGTTGTCACAACTGCTCAGTCACTTGGCTAACTGCAGTTATTGGTTTGATAGATTCCAATCAGGGTTTTGATCTCGGCATAATTCTGGAATAGCACTGCTGAGTGTGACAAATGATATCTTACTAAACCCACACCTTGGGAAATTGTCAGCATTCATCTTACTTGTCCAGAGTGCAGCTTCTATTCCGTTAATCACAACATTTTGATAAGGTGATTGTAGCTAATTGGTGGTATTCTTGGAATAAACCCTAGCATTAAGTTTTGCTTGACCTTGAATTACCAACCTAGAATTTGATTTTTATTTTGAATCTAGAGTGTATTCCCTAATAGGGCTAGATAAGAAATCTTAAAAGCACTTAAAATATCTGATTTGGGTCTTCTTTCCTTAAGATGCAGCTGATTATTTTACAGTTTGCTTAAAATTCACAACTGGTTGCCGGCTATTTAATTACAATTCATTATTCTAGGACAGAAATTCTGTTGTTAGACTTTCTCAAGCTTGTAATCCATAATTCACAGCTGTTGCTTGCAGAAACGCAAATACACAGCAGCATGCCTGCAGAATGTTTACTTCATGCAGTTTACAAATGGAGGGTGTATACAAAGTGTACAGCATGCATGCTGTGGCCTTTTTATTCTGATAGGCAAGATGAACACAGAGGAACTCTGATTCAGATTCAAGTACAACTGAACCCACAAAGGGTTCTGGAAATGTCACACTTCCCATTTAACATATAAACTTCAAGACAGGGTCTTGAGAATATTAATAAAGTCCTCCAGCCTCTTTCTCTGGACTTTGCCCCTCATTTCAAGAGCTCCATTAGAAGCAAATTCTTAAAAACAAACAAACAAACAAACAAACAAAAAGAGTAGATGTGCCTTGAGCTGCCAAGTTTAGATCCAGAGCCAAGCTTCCCCAGACTTCACCTCTAGAGATTTTTCTGTTTAAAAAAATAAAAGGAGTTTATTTGCACTATTGCATAATAGTGAAAATAAACTGTAGATGGGTGTAGGGGCAGAAGAGGGAAGACCACTTTCCACCAATATTTAGCAACTATACATAGCATTTACTTGTCCAAAACAGATTTTCCTTCCTTTGTTTGAAGATTTTGTTGACACGCAAAAGTCAGAAAGAAGGTTCATTATGGCCCCTCCATTCCACGTTTTGACAATAAAGAAATTGAAGTGACAATACATTTTTTTAGTCAATTCAAGTTGGCATATGTGAGTAGCAGTAGTACAGTACACTACGTTACCAGGCACAGGTTTGGTAACGATCAGTCGCTCCCGGCTGCCATGCTGTCAGCAGTGTAGCACTACAGCCAACTTGAATTAAACTCAAAATAGATGTTTAAAAAACAAACACACCTTAAGGATTAGTGTGGAGACAGGCTAAACTGTGCAGGACATAATAGCACCTAAGTGGTAATAAATAGCAGGCCTGTGTAATTTGCTGGTGGATGTTAGTCACAGGGAACAACATTTCCTAAATGACTTGAGCAATATTTGTTTACTGGCATGACAAGTAAATGATCCCTAACCTAAAACTATCTGTAAGTTCAATGATGCCAGAATGTATGTTAGTGAGTTTACCATGTTTAATAATAAAATACTTAGCAGTTCTCCTCCCCAGCATGTTACAAACATTAAGTGAATCATGTTTTGTCTACTGCAAATCGATAGTAACATTTGATAATTTATTTTATTATTGTATAGGTTGTATGCTAAAGAAGTTCTTTTTGTTTTTTTTATTTCTAGATTTAATTATTAATGTTGAACTGGACAAGGTTTTTTGCACTACAGTTGGCTGCTTTTCAGAGCGTATTGTTTATTGTTACCAAGATGTGTCATCTTGAAATCTATGCTGTATTTTTTGGTGTTCAAAATAGCTGGTTTTGAGAGAATGGGGTTTCCAAAGTTCTCTGGGGCCACTGATGGGAATCACGTGCACACAGTTTGCCCTGCTCAAGGAGCACATGAGTAGATGAACCGCAAAAGGTACTACTCCATTATTACACAGGCCCTTGTGACCCACAGAGCCCGATCTATGGACGCCAAAGTGGGCTGCACTGGAAAAGTTCATGATGCCAGGGTTTTCCTGCAATTCACTCCTGGTGCTCTGTAGCCTGTCTGTGCCTTTCCACTTGCCATGAACCCCCTTCCCTTTGGTACTGTACTGGCTTGTTGGCTTGTCCTGGATGTCCACCATAAGTTCATCATGGAAGCACTTCCTCTTTGACTGCTCCATGACAGTTCGGAATCTCAGGTTCCTGCTGGTGTGTGGCTGGGCTGCAGAGGGAGAAGGGCCTGAAAGCAGACATCAAGTAGTACATTGTTGTCTCAGTACTTTAAAAAAGGTTCAGTGCATCCTCAGAGAAAAGTGCCCGTGGAATCTCAAGGCCAAAATATGATATTTTGCATAATTCAGCTTCATTATATTCTCAGAGGAACACTTCAGTTCCCAGGAGCTCTGTCGACACAGCTGAGTTAAGCAGAGTGAAAAGAGTGCACACACAATGGTAGGTGAAATTTACATACGCTATATGTTTAAAAATTGTAGACCTTTGTAGCCTGAAGGGTGCCATGGTTTACTACTGAAGGTTTCTCAGTCCTTTCAGGCATTCTGCATTCTGGAGGACATAACAATCCTGGAGGTTCCTGAATGACAAAGGGACAGGCTATTCCAAGCTAGCTGTGGCAAGCCAGTCACATATGCTACAGAGGTTTTCAAGCTTATGGTGACTGAGCAACTCATCTATGATGCAGTGGGCTGGTCTCTTACAGAGGAAGTCACAAAAAATATGCCAGGAAGACTCCACAGGGAGGCAGATTTCGGCCAATGCTTGGTCAGCTCCTCCTACCACACCAGGAGTGAGTGTGAGCATATCACGCTGAGTTCTCTGTTGCTGCCTCATGGAGCCAAAGTCCTCACAGCCTGGTCAAGGGTCTGAAACTATCCAGAGCTGAGAATCTACCCTCCAAACTAGTGAGACGAGAGGAGACAAGGATTTCCCCCTTCCCATCTTCCAGCAAATTCTCCTGCCTTACACAGCTTCCTCCATGACCCGCCCTTGCCTTCCGTCTGCTCCTGATCCATCAGCTAGCTTTCTTCCTCAGTGGCTTCACGCTATCCCTGTCGGGGGCTTCCTCCAGTCCCACTACTTCCCTGCTACATGCTGCTTTCTTCTCCTCCTGCGTCCCCTCTCCTCTCAGTCTCCTGGACTCCCTGATTCCTCACAGTGTCCCCCATGCAGCCAGTTCACCTAAGCACCCCTCTACCCTCAGCTACTCATTCCCCCCAAACATACTGAGTGCTCCTCTACCTCCAGATAGTCGTGTCTGCTTAAGCACGATGGGAAACCTTATGGCATTGTTTCACACGTACAGCTTCTGTAAGTGGGGGTGTTAAGGGGGATAATTTCATAGGATGTGAGCCTCCAAACATGTTGGTCTGCAAAGGGTGCCCGCTGTGACTGATCCTGATGCCACCATCCCTCACTCAAATCACATAATTCTTCTTTAAATTTGCCTCTCTCGGCTCTTTACTCTCCAAACACATCATACTGAATCTAAAGTGACAGGATGAACAGACAATGTAATTCTGATGCCTTAGCAGCCTTCTCCCGCACATGCTGTGGGGTTCATACTTACTAATATACTAGGTATATACACGGCTGTACATCACATGCTGCGCTACACTTTACCTTGATGACCACAACTTCTTTTCACTTTGCTATGCCCGCCCCTCATCAGACACCATCTCTGTGGGCAGCAGCAGCATACATATCCCTGCACTTCTCTGTTGGCAGTGGCAACATAGGAGGCTTGCTGGATTTTGTAAAACTTTTCTCCAGCAACTGCTTGCCCTAAGTTTTACTTGATCCTCTATTTGCATGTTGTGCTATTAAGGGCAAAATCAGGCCCTTAAAGTGCAATTATCCTCAGAAAATGGCATTCTTGTGTTCCACATTTATTGCTCCCCAGGAGGAAGAGGTGGAGGTTTAAACCAATTTATTTAAACCAATGCAAATTTGGGTGTGGGTAAGGCCTAACTCTCAACATCACTCCCTTACTAGTTGCTGTGAGGATGGGTCTCTTGAGATCCACAATCCATCCCTGGCTGTGCCACAGACGTCCCATGTGACCTAGAGCAAGTCGCTAATACAGTACAGTAATGTTTCTCTACCTCACAAGGGTGTTGTGAGAATAAATTTATGTATGTTTGTGAGGCGCTCAGCTACTATAGTGTAGGGGACCATGGGTATCCCTAAATAGATATAAAGAAAATGAAGTTTTATTCAGTACCTAGCAGGACTGGGCTCTGAGTAATCTGAATCACACCACTTCCTTATTTTCTGAAATAGTCATTTATTGACCAAACTTTAGTTTAGCAGCATCTCTTTTGTCCTTGCTTTTGTTCCTTTTCTGTTTTTTCTAGTTATTCATATTATCTAATCTTTGCCATTTCTTTACTCCTTGCCCATCTTGTAATGACAATGAAACGCTGGTCATTGTATCCACTGTTTTCCACTGGATAACAGCTTTTTCTGCCTGTCAACCAACCTCTTTTCAAGCACTCTATCAAAAGCATAACACATCCACTATATCAACAGCATAACCTCAGCTGCCAGATTCCTGATTCCAGTACCCAGATTGCCAGCAAATGTGTCACCTCTGTCTTGAAATATTTATATTGCTTTTCAGACAAGTTTCATGTTAATTTCTAGATTTTCAAAGCAAACTCCAAAACCATTCATAGCTTTGCTGTTCTCATTTGCTCCCCATATTTGTTTGGCCAGGGTTATTTTACACTCATGATCTCCTGTAAAGAAGATCAGGTTAGGATCTGGATGCGAACATAGCTCTTGAGTGCAGTCCCGGATTCAGACCTTCCCTTGCTACATAAGTTTAACTCCCACTAAAGTTAATGAAAGTTAAACTCACATATGCACAAATTCAAAATGAAAATAGACCACTTAGTGATCAGAATCAATATTCAAGGGAGACTGGATGGCTCAGGTGATTAGGAATCAATATGGTGTCTTTCACCTCAAGATCCCTAGTTTGACTCCATTGCAGGTTACTGTAAAGTAAATTGCCATCTCTCAACTGATTGCCAGCCAATGTAAACACAGAAACCACTTTTGTAAATGCCAGCTTTGTTAGCAGTTTCAGAAAAAATGACAATGGAAAGACTGAAGCACCACTTTGTTGCTAAAGCATTCCTCCCAGAACAGGTATAAGGTACATGGACAAAACAGTGTGTGGAAGTATTTTTGCTCCCTTTCTGGTACCCGCTCAATGGATATATAAGGAACTTTTTAGATAGCTTCCATAAGAGATCAGCCCAAACCACAGAGTTTGGATCCAAATCTGTATTTGAACTTCCCTTGATCTGACGTTTTAGTTTCAGTCCATCTTCCAATGGAGCTATTTGGGCACCAACACTAAATTCACTTTAGAGGGAAAAGAGGAACAAGACTTGAAAAAATATCCAAGAATGTAGTGATGAATAAATTAGAGATTTTAACAGAGGTGCAGAAAACTTTCATAACCAATTCTGAAACTCAGGTCAAGTTCACTCAAAAGCTTGCAAATACCAAAGCCTACCTGGGTTGTGGGATGATGTTAGTCAGAAATAGTTTTGGTGGATTTGCATAGTTTAAAGGTGAAATGATGTTAAAAGCCAAGAAGTTTTTGGATGAATTTTGTTCAGATCTTCATTTGACCACAACACTCAGAGTAAGATGCAAGAGGTGCACAAATCCAAGCAAAACAAAATGGGGAGAAGTGCATGCAAGTCCCTCTATGGCCAAACAACTGAGTCTCACAGAGCCTACTAACACCAGAAAAGAGTGGTTTATTATGAAGATGGAGGGTTCTGTTGTGCTTATTTCCCTGATCTTGTACCACGAAAGTCATTAAGAGCTGAGTCCCCCTTAGAGCACGGAGAGGTGCCTTCGCAGTGATCAGATGTGTTTTGCCTGTAGTGCAGAGGGAGGAAAAATGCTTCTAAGGTTCTGGGGAAAGCTTGCCTGCAAGTAGTGGCTAAGTAGATTGTGTCCCTATGTAGTGTCTAGTCCAAATTGTGGATAATAACCTACTACTGCAACCAGCTAATGGAAATACTCCTTCAGCTCACATGGTAGAGCTCCGCTCTTTTGGTGCTCAAACTCATGGATTAAATCCCTGCTAATGAAGGATGGTGGAGGTTGTATCTCCATTTTGGAAGAGCAGCTTTAAGTTACCGTAGCACCAGTTGCCTGGAATTGCCAGCCACAATCATAACCTCACCCACTCCCAGACCTGTTTTCGGCTAGGTAGCATTGCTGGCAGTGTTAACACTTCCCACACCTTGTTCTGAAAGAGTAGGGAGCAGTCAAAAGCCAGCTGCTTGCACACAAGAGACACCCCCTGTATCCTTTCCATCCTCACTTTGTATAGCTGTGCTAGAGCAGGGAGAATATGGTCCTGAATGATCTTTTATCTGTATGGAGCATCTTACTGACCATTATATTTGCATTTTTTCTGCACTTCTAGCTACTAATGGATTCAGAGGCTGTCTCTCAAAAGACACAACACAGAAGAGGCAGCCCAGAGGGAGGTGTTTTTCCTGCTTTACCTGGGCTGTCTATGTGCTCCACTGTAGCTCAGAATCCACATGACTTGGAGAACTACAGCTGCTTTAGAGTCTGTCTATTTAAGGTACCAATATATCCCTCATTACTGTAGTATCTGAGCATCTCACAATATGTACAACACCCTGTGAGGCAGGGCAATGCTATTATCTCCATTTTACAGAAGGGCACCAAGGCACACAGAGACTAACTTGTCCAAAGTCACTCAGGAAGCCTGCAGTGAAGCAAGGACTTAACGCAGGCGTCCGGAGTCCTAGACTAGTACCCTAACCACTGGACTATCTTTTCCACTCATGGACTCCTGATTCTATCTTTCAACAGAGAGTTTGTAAATATTGCTGCTTATCACATAGCTTTATAAATGAGATTCCGTGGAGGAAACAGAAATATCCCTACATGGGTCCCCATAAAGTTTATGCTTTCACATGTACGGAAGATGAGAACTGGACCCAAAGTAACCGTCTTCCTTTTACAGAAGACACAGTCTTTATGTGCAGCCTGGCAAAGAACCAGTCAATATTAATTTCTAAATTTACTACAAAATAAAAAGGTTAATAGGGTGCTTCTAAAAAACACAAAAGACTATCAACAAATTTGTGTAGTCTGTGATATGTAGTTTAGTGATGAGTCCCTAGATGTTGGTAATTTTTTTTTTAAATAAAAAGTAAAAACCAAAGACCTCAATTGGCAGATGTTTGGGCCAGTCTTTGTATGAATGGTTCCTGGTTTCCTGAAGAATGGTTTGAAACAGCCATTGCTGGTGCTCCATACAGAATGTTTATTGTTCTTTCTACTTTCCCATTCTGTCAGTTGCTATACATGGCAATTTTCTCACATCAACTTTTATGTACACCTACAGGCTTCCCAAAGCATCTGTTCCATTTGTACCTTTTTAACTCTTCAGCATCTTTAATGTTTGTATCAGTTGTATTTAATAACTAAACAGCTCACCACTAAAACTGCCCAAAAACTCCAGTCCTCACCAAGACCAGTAGATGAAAATAAAATGTGGAGTATCTAGACTAAACAGTTCTGAGCTATTACAAGCCATAAAAAAGTTAGCAAAATTTTCCAGAAGTGCAAACACCTCATTCTCTGAACTCTCACATTGCCAAAGAAGGTGTAAAACTTTTTTTCTTGGAAAGTGCATCAAAAGTGGCCAAATGGATCTGTATGTAACTTTCACCAAAAAATGACTTTACAATTAAGATTATGCATAAAAAATTATCTTCAAAGATCTTTTTCTGTTAGAAAGTTAGAGGCAAATCGAAATAGAGGTTTAGAATTAAATCCCATCTCAGCCTTTATTTCACTCCTGCATGGCTACCACAAACCTAAAACAGGACTGACTGTATTTTTATTTTTAAATTGCACTTCATATGTGATCTTTTAAATAAATGGGGGGAAAGAGTGACCTTTGGCTGAACAGACAGTTTATGCATGAACTAAACAGCAGGTTCCCGTTTCACTTTCCCACATTCTCGTTCTCTTCACTCTCCCACATCCAAATATAATTTGTAAAGCCTTTCATCTCACATGTTACCCACTGGGTCCCACAAAACCAGTACCAAACTCAAGATTCACATGTATTCTCCTCTGCCAGCAGGTGAGCATAATCCTTGTTTTATAAGCATAATGAACAATTCTCTTGTATTTCAAAATTATTTCCAGAATTCCCAGACAAAAATCGCCATAAAGGTATAGTTCAAGATGTAAATAAATGTCAGTTAAACTAAAACGGCATCAGTAGAACACTAATGAAAAGCATGGAAATTTGAAGTTATGATCAAAGAAAGAAACCAATGTGAATGAAAATCAGAAAATTCATAGTTAAGGTTCCAAAAGCAAAGTAATTCTAACCCATTATCCCTGCCCATCATGCAACATAAAATAACCAAGTATCTAATTCATGCCATAATTTTTCAAATATGTGGACTCTTCCAATCAATAGATATTGTACAAGGCAGATGAGACTGATTAGGGACTTTGATTCATTGTGGAATAGACACTATAATAGGTATTATAAACCAAACTGTTTATGAAGGTGTGGGAGGTTTTCTGGCTCTGAGTGGGTAAATCAAGTGTTTGTTAACTTATATCTATAACATTCTGATGTTTTAATTTAATAGATATTTACTCATTACAACATTAACCCCGTCTTTACAAAAATTTGGACTAAGAATTCCTGACTCAAATTTTTAGAAAGTATTTTAAAATATTTATCCATGGAAAACTTGCTGTAAATGTTTGCATTTCTTTCTGAGAGTTTGCAAAGAATATTCGCAAGAAGATTCATGTAGTAACTGTGACTTGTGTAATTTATCCCATTTTGCTCATTGCATCACTGTTGAATAGGCCAGAGTATTTTTCAATCTTCATTCCATATTTTCAAATTATTTTTTTAAATGTCATGATGTAAACTGTATCAAATAATGATAGGCCAAATCATTAGGCCAATCACTGTGATTGGAAGGAGGAATACTAATATACAGAAATACTAATAGAAGAAAATGATGTATATGCTTAAGAGGGAGGAGAAAGGTTGCAACTGGTAGCAGCTAGAGCTGGTTGAAAAGTGGTAAATGTGTTTGGGGAAATATTTTTTAATTTTTATTTGCTCAAAAAGTTTCAGATTTTTTTCCATGAAAACCTGGTGGATTTTTTTTTTCATTTGTTGAAACCCAAAACGAGAATGTTTCAGTTTCCTGAATTGGCTTTCGCCCGCCTCTCCCTTCCTTTCCCCCTTCATCTCTTTACTGCAAAATGGTAGGGGCAGAAGACAAAACAAAACTCTGAAAACATTTTGGTTTTCATTTGTTGTCAAAAAAATCAGGAGATTTATGTTGTAAAAAGGAATTTTTTTCACAAAAAAGTTTGTTTTAGAAAAAAGGATCATTATTCATCAGAAAAACATTTAAAAAAATTGTTGATTACCTTTAGTAGCAGCTCAGAAGGGACACAGGTTGTGGCGTGGACCCTGAGGAGAACAACAGATACACCGTGATCTCAGTGGAGCATTTGCCCATCTGTGCACAGTGCTGGAGCCCCATATCCCTAGGCAGTTCAGATCATAACATCCTCATTCATTCTGAGCTATAGTGTCTGAGCTGCCGTAGCTCCTCTACACATTACTACCTACCTATCTGGAAGCAGAATCCATGGATGCCGGCAAATGGTGTCTATCTGCGTGTTTGTACAGCCCCTAACAGGATGGGACCCAATCCTACTGGCGCTTGTAGGCACTGCTGCAATGCAAATGTATGAAAATAAATAATAACAAACCAAGTACATTTTACCTACAGGAGATTCTTTGGCTTGGAGGGAAAGTACTATAGCATGTAGAATTCTCTGTACTTATTTACCAGACTCACTTAACCTATTTACTGTGCTTTTCTCCCCTCTGTGCCGTGCAACGGAAGGGTTTCATTTGGCCTAATATGTCTCAGAACAAAATGTTTTTGGCAACTAAGTAGCTACATCACACTTGAGACATGAAAACAGTTTTTGCGGTTCATGTTATAAAAAGATCCTTAACCTTAAAGAACTTTGGGCCAGATTGTGACACCCTTATTCACTATAAGTATAGTACCTTATTCTTCAGGGGGTTTCACTAAAAAAATCAGGAGTAAGGCACTCTTCAACCTCAAAATACCACAATCTAGCCCAGGGGTGGGCAAACTTTTTGGCCTGAGGGCCACATCAGAGAATAGAAATTGTATGGCGAACCATGAATGCTCACAAAATTGGGGTTGGGGTGCAGGAGGGGGTGAGGGCTGTGGTTGGGGGTGTGGGCTCTGGGGTGGGGCTGGGGATGAGAGGTTTGGGGTGCAGGAGGGTGCTCCGTGCTGGGATCGAGGGGTTTGGAGAGGGGGATCAGGGCTGGGGAAGGGGGTTGGAGCGTGGGGAGAGGCTCCGGGGTGCAGGATCCGAGCAGCACTTACCTCAAGCAGCTCCCAGAAGCTGTGGCAAGTCCCTTTTCCGGCTCCTACGCGTTGAGTGGCCCCCAACCCTCAGAACGGGGAACGGGTGCAGCCCCCGACCCGGCGTCCCAGCTGGAGTGCTGGTGTGGCCCCTGCCCCAGTGGGAGCTCACAGGCCGCCTTAAAATGGCTCGTGGGCCAGATCTGGCCCGCGGGCCATAGTTTGCCAACCCCTGATCTAGCCCTTTATGATTAGGGTTACAGTGTTATCCTTTCACTTTCAGGAACTTATGTGTCCATGGTTACAAGGGCATACATAAATCATGAAAATACTGGAAAATTAAGCAATCTAACCGAATGGGATTGTTTCATATCCAAAATAATAATAATTTCCCCCATGGTTATGGCAACTCAGAAAATCATGGCCTGTGCTATGCTGATAGATGTGTGCTGAACCTGGAGTTGCCATAAGGGAGCCATCCTTGGCAAACCTAACTTGTTTCCCTATTATTTCTAAATGCCTTTAATTTACGAGGGGCCTTGGGAGAGAGCCTCATTCCTTGTTGGGAACTGAAACTGCTGTCAGGTGAGAGTCGCCTGCTCTGATCCTTTGTGCAATTAGCAGGCTTAACTACTGACCTCCTGCCCTCTCTTGCTTCCCATTAGCCACCCAGGCAGCTCTCCCACAACTGCTCAGCCAAAAATTCCCCAGAGTTTAAAAGTCATGGACACTATAAAAACAGGTGGGAGGCCTGGGTCCCCGAGCCAGCCTCCCCCCTGAAGCAGGCTTTGCAAGTGGCTAAGTGGCCCAGGGAAGGTGTAGGAGAGAAGAGTCTGTGGCTCGGGCCTGCTACTGGGAGGTTTCCATTTTATGCCCCTCCGCTGTGCTTTCCTGAAAGTCCAAGGCTTTGACTGCCGGTTGGTAAATCCAGGCTGCCTCAGTCACGCACAAACTCTGCTGGCGGGGCCCCACTGAGCGCTCTGTCACTCACAGGCATCCCCTCAGCCCTAGGGTGGCCGGACCGCCAGCTATCAGGGGGACCACCCCCTGTTAGGGGCTTTGTCCTGTACCCCACTATTAATCCCAACCGGATTTTTCACACTGGCTCTCTGGTGACCCTACTCAGCTCCCACCCCGGCCAGCCCTGCGCAAGGGGACGTCACCCTCCCGCCCGCGGGGAGACACCCCGTCCCCTCAGCTCAGTGGGCGCGGGAAGCAGGGGGCAGCAGTGGGCCGGCGGGGAGGGGTTTGCCGCCGCCGCTCCCGGTCGGGAGGAGGAGGAGAGCGGGTGGGCGGCGTGTGCAGGAATTCAGGCGGGGGCTGGGCCAGGCGCGGATGTGCCGCTCGCTCGGGGAGAGCGGAGCTGGGCACCCGCGGGAAGCCGCCTTGCGCTGCCCGGGCTCCGCGGGGAGCAGACCATTGGCTGAGCGGTAAGGGACCCGGCGGGGCGCTGGCTGCGCCGCGCCTACACCGCCCCCTTCTCCCCGCGCTCTGCCGCGCCGGGTGGGGGCGCCTCCGTTGGGGGCTGGGGATCCCCCCTTGGGGCGGGGGGCTTTCGGGGTATTGCATGTGCCATTTCCAGACTGCAGGCTTCCCGGGGGGGTTGATGGACTTGTCCTCTTGCAGTCCCTTGAGTTTCCTGGGGGAGGATCGGTCTGGGTTCAACGCGGACAAACCTCCCCCACACCCCTTGTCCTAATGCAACAAGCCCAGGATCCGAACTGCAGCTTCTTTCACGCCTTTCGAGAGGTGCCTCTGACAGCCGCCAGGTATGCAAAATCAACAGCGGCGGGGCCCGATCTGATCCTCCTGGCGCGCCCAGAGCTGCCCTCAGCGGGTGCCCCAGGAAGGCAGGATCGGGCCCCATCTGCCATCAGCGGGTGCCCCAGGAAGGCAGGATCGGGCCCCTCCTGCTAGCTAGGCAGTCGCGGCTGAGCCCGTTGTGCTGGCGGTGGCCGATATTCCACCGCCAAACCCAGCGTTCGCCTGGTCCGGAGCTCTGCAAACACTCGCAGGAATGTGTTTGTCACAGCCCACATCGCTCGCTCCCCCTCCACCCCAAATGGTTAGAGCCTTGAAGTTGCATGGCCCTGTACAGCTCTGTCCAGTAACAGCCCTGATCACAAATGAACAGCAGCATACTAAAAAAAATTATAAAACCAGATCATTTCCAGCCTGCAGCTGTGTGTCCACATCTATCAAGGCAGCAAAATATGCTGAGCCTGCATTTAATTTTTCATGAAATGTTGCATTACAGTATGGGTGAGCTGTGAAATATTACACTGTGATTACAAGGCTGGGGTGAGTGCTAATGTTCTATAGTTGCTGTTTCCACACAAATTCAGGGATTTGAAGAACTATTTCACCTCTACTGAGAAGCAACAAGGTGGTTTACATTCAGTGTCTTTCTTATAGTGCATGAAAAAATTGAAATAATTGGGTTTATTTTGAGATCCTTTGATGTACAATTGCAGCTGGCAATAGTCTTTTATTCTTTATCATACTTCCTTTGTTGAGGAGCTGTACATTAACAGTGCAAGACTTTTTTTT